ACAGCTGGCAAAGTGTTTTTCCTTTGCATTTCGTGGACGTGGCACTGTTTTGACAAACGATGCCCACCTTGGGTAAATGTCGTCTGCTAGGTAGTATAGCCCGTCGTACATACGTCTGTTGACCCAGTAAATGACTTTGGTGCATTTCCTTACAGGACATCGTTGAAGACTAGGGATTGGATAAGGACGTTGAGGTCATTTTGAGCTCCTGGAACCTCGAAAAAGGCGTGCCAAATCCATGTATCAAAAGATTCCACTGCCTCTAAAATGATACTTTTTGATCATTTTCTGTCCCTATAAGCATCTTGCCATGCACTTGGACAATTTTTCCAGGTCCAGTGCATACAATCGATGCTTCCAATCATTTTAGCAGGTTTCCGGAGGTACTCTGCGGTGTAGATAGATTCGATTGCTCCGTAAAATCTCATCAGGGACTCAAGACTGATTGATTTCCCCATCCTCGTTATCTCATCCACTTGGTCTGCAGATGCTCCATATGCAAGCATCTACAAGGCAGCAGTAATTTTTTGCTAAGGAAAGAGACCCATAGCACCAAAAGCATCTTTCCTTTGCACAAAGTAAGAATCATGGTTGCAAACAGCAATCATGATTTTGTTGAACAAATGTCATTCCATTCTAAAACGACTACTAAAGTACGTATCAGGGAATCCACTATTATGGACAAAATAATCGTCCAAGAGTTCCGTACCTCGTCGTTGCCTATTTTTATCAACGTTTTCAGAACGGCTGGGCCTGCAGATCTGACCTACAGCTTGGATGACTTGACGGGAATGTGAGGCTCTGCCCATTCTTTCTTTATCATCTCTCCTTCTACGCTCCTCATCCTCTTCCCTCTCTATTTGGGCCACCTGGAGATTGAACATTCCTTTTGATTGGTTAAACAATTCTTCCTCTTATTGATCGATTTCCCACATCATCCTTGAAGAAGAAGACACTGTAAAAAATGAAGCAGAAACTATGAATAATGATACAGATTTTGGTGAAAAAGGAAGCAGAAACTATGAATAATGATAGAGATCTTGAGAAAATTGGTGTGAGAATTGTGATGATGGATGGTCGATGATATGGAGGATTCAGAAAGGATTAGGTTGTAGATAATGTCACGTGGCATGCCGTCATTCGTTAAAAATCTAATGGAAATCTATCCTCAAAGATTGTAAATAGATTATGACACGTGGTGCGACGTGATTAGTTAATAATCTTATTGGAAATCCATCACCAATAATTATATTTTCGGATAATTACACATAGCGCAACAAGAACAATTAAAAATCTTATCAGAAATACATCACCAATAATTGTCTTTTTCGGATTATGACATGTGACGCAACGAGAACGATTAAAAATTTTATTCGAAATTACAAATAAAATTATTTTGTATTATTTTATAACTTTTCGGATAATGGCACGTGGCACAACGAACGATTAAAAATATTATCCAAAATTACAAATAAAATTATTTTGTATTATTTTATAAATAAAAAAAATACTAATATTTTATTGCCTATTGCTAGGGCTATTGAAGTGCAACGGTAGAGATGCAAAAGGCGATTATTGTTCATTAAAGGCAGTTAGTGTTCACTGGGTGGATAACATAGTGTATTGCCTAGGGGGGTTCCCACGCTGGAATTGCTCTTATAACACTTTGTATCTCTTACCAACTAATTGGAAAGATGAACCATGATAGCAAACAACAACAACAAAGCCTTTTCCCACTAAGTGGGGTCGGCTATATGAATCCTAAAACACCATTGCGCTCGGTTATGTGTCATGTCCTCCGTTAGATCCAAGTACTCTAAGTCTTTTCTTAGGGTCTCTTCCAAAGTTTTCCTAGGTCTTCCTCTACCCCTTCGACGCTGAACCTTTGTCCCGTAGTCACATCTTCGAACCGGAGTATCAGTAGGCCTTCTTTGCACATGTCCAAACCACCGTAACCGATTTTCTCTCATCTTTCTTTCAATTTCGGCTACTCCTACTTTACCTCGGATATCCTCATTCCTAATCTTATCATTTCTCGTGTGCCCACACATCCAACGAAGCAAACCATGATAGCAAAATTGGGCTTAAATCTTGTGTTTGGGATTTGGGGTGGATAATTAATATCAAAAATGGGCATTGGGCCTTGAGGCTCTAGGTGATAATGAATGTATAAATAATTATAAACAAATGGGCCTTGGGTTTTAAATTTAATCACTTCATAATTGAAAACACAACTACAATTCTTGAAAAGAAATGTGCTATGAGCCAATCTACATAACTAAGTGAACTGGAAATAAAATCCACTTGAAATGTAAAAAAAAGAAGAAAGAAACGAAGATTCAAATCATGTAAGGCATGATACTGCTGAAAGAAAGTGACAGCTTTGATATCGGGCTGAGTCAAGTAGGAAACGTTGTGCCTTAAAGAGGTGAGTGGTCAGTTGGAATTATTGTCAACCTGAATCATACTAAGAGGTAGCAGAGCTAGTAACATTTTAAATCTTAGGGATCATAAGAGAAAAAGCTTTGAAGAAATGTTAGTTCATATCTATGGTAATTGGCATTTTCCTAGCCTAAACCTTTGTCGTTAGAATTGGTTCTACTCAAGTTGCTAAAGATCAAACCCCAACCTGTAATCGTAGTTCCACGATAACTAATCAAACCCCAACCTGTAATCGTAGTTCTACGATAACTAAGTCACCATCTCAAATTTAGGACGGTAAGTGAGACTTAGAGACTTTCTTGCATTCTTAGGTGGTTTAAATACATACAAATGGTTTTCTACATATGCAAGACTGAACTGTCATTTAGTTATATGGTGTCTGCAAAGTAATTGGGCTTTATTTGAAGGGGTGTGTTATCCACACATCATTTTTTACTTCTCACACACCACTTGTTAATTTCTGTCCGTTGATATTCTTTAATTCATCTGATCCGACGGCCGAAAACCAAAAAGGTGTGAGAGAAGTAAAAAATGATGTGTGGATATCAACCCCTATTTGAATTAAGCTAATTAAGTTACATTATATAATTCCAATAACTTTCCTTTTATGGATTAGAATTTAGGTGTGAGTCAATATAGTTGACTAGTTGCAAGTGTTCATTTACTACAGTGGTGGAAAAATGTTGAGTTATTGCATGACAGCATGGGTTCAAATCTTGTTGGTGACTAATCTAACATCTAATCTAATAAAATCTATTGTATGACAAAAAAAATATAATTGACTAGTTAACGCTTTAGAAATGAAGCCCATCTATTCTTCTGCTAATAAACTTTGAAAGGCTTCACGAAGTAAGGATCATACAAAGCTTGTCGAAAGAAAGGCCAGAAACAAATGAAAGGCAGCATGTAAAGAGAGCCTAGGATAGGGATTTGGATGATGTCCACTCCTCCCACGACGATGCCTCGGTCATCAAGGTTCAGATCTCCAATGCGATGGTCAGTCATGTCTTGGTGGACAACAGGTATGGGGTCAACATCCTCTTTAAGGATGCAATGGAAAGGATACGAATCCTAGACAACATCAATAAGAATAAAATCACTCTTCATAGCTTCAACAAAACTCATGTCCGATCCCTCAAAAGAGTGAGGTTGGTGGTTCAGGCAGAACCGTAATTTTGAAATTAGTTTTTCTAACAACTATCTTTTTCTTTACGAACGTTTTAATGTAAAAAAAACATTCAAATTCCAAAAAAAAAAAGTTAGGAATATTTTAGGATCTACACACAAATAGATAGGTATTTATAAAGTTTTGGTGTTGAATCTGATTTGGATTAATTAATAATATTATTTTGACCATTTAATTGAATTTGAGTCATTGAGTTTTTTTTACTACGGTTGAAATTAATTAATTAAATTTGAGCAGTTGGATTCTAAAAGTAACCGAAGAGATGAGAGAGTTGAAGAATGAACACGGTCATGAAATCACATTCGCACATTGCGGTCTTATTATGTGTTGCGCCGCACTGGATAAACCTGCGCAGTAAAAATGACACGCGGGCCCTGTTGTGGCCCATTTCACATGGTTTTGCAACCGCGATGGGCCCCATTTCACCCAAAATCCTATCCGGCGAAGGTGAATACCCAAAGACCCACGCCAATCCAAAAGAATTGTTTTTCCCTCGCTCAGAATACTCTCGTTGTAGAAGAAATGGACCCAAATTTTGAAATTTATTTTCACACCCCGGGTTTGGAGACGGTCATAATCGGGCCCACCCATGAGCAAATTTCCGAATTCTAATCGCTGAGGTTTTGTCCTCTCATACACACAAGTGAAGAGTACATTTTTGCTCACAATCATTTAGTGTGGTGTATGTTCATTATCTTATTTATTACCGTTAGATAAGTTTTAATTTTGAGATTTGTTCCTATCCACTACACGAATCTCGAAATTGAAACTCATCTAACGGTGATAAATAGAATGGTAAGCATACACCACACTAAATGATGGTGAGCACATAATCGAGCCCACCGAAAAAAGCACAACAAAATGTGGGAAAGATGGTCGATGGCGTCGAGACGGAAGAGGCTAGAAATAGAAAACAACTGTACTCATATCCCCTCCCCAATCCCACAACCCTCACTTATTACAGTTATATTTTACTTTTGTTATAACACGTAAAATAATACTAAGACATCACGTAACTAGTATTTTTATAAAAAATTGTCAACTTCATCAATCTTAATTTTCTATTAGCATGGCAGGCTTGGAAGCTCTAAATCCTCCGTTAAATTAAATATCAAATTCTCAGTCCCCATTACTCGTACTTTTGTTCCCATTTGCCGTTGCAAAAACGAAAGTATAATTCTTCTCCGGCCAATGAATGCCTGACACGCTAAAACCCGAATGCAGTGCTGACTTCTATGTCCCACGTGTCGCGGAGAGAGCGCGAGTAGAGGAACTGAGCGCGTACACTTGAGGCTGAGGGGGTCATTGTCTGTACAGTGTACAGTACTGAAGTAGCAGATGCAATTAACGCGAGAAAACTGTTTCCGGATTCTCAGTTTCAGGCCGGATAAATTCGATTCTACTCTCTCTCTCTCCATAAGAAATGGAAGAAACGCCAAAATGTTGGAAGGAAAACAAATAGCTACTTTCGCAACAATGACCGGCTAGCTAACGCATTCTCTCTCTCTCTCTCTCTCTCTCAACTTTGGTTCCCTCGCTTCAGCGAAAGTGATCAGTCAGACATTCTTTGCTTTCTCTCTCCAGCTGGTAATGGTGGTTGTGAGAGAGAAAGTGCATTAAGAGAGAGAGAAAGCAATTAGTTATCAGCAACACCAACAACAAGGAGAGGAGAGAATCTAGAGAGAGAGAGAGAGAGAGAGAGAGAGAGAGAGAGAAATGTTCAGGCTACACAAGAACAGGCCTGCTAAATCAGGGGAGAGGGTGGATTTCAAGTTCTCCCACTTTAAGGCCCTCCAGGTATTAATTTAAATCCTTCTAATTAACTGTTTGCATTTTGATTAAATTTATTGGTAATATAGTGTAAAATGTAGCATTTCTGTATCAATTCTAGATTTATGAAGAGTGACCGGAAGTTTATGTGAATGTCTATATTTGGAAAGTGTAAAATGATCAGACCAAACTCGCACAACTGTTGAATTTTTCGATTAACAATAAATTATCTCGTTCAATTTCTATATTTGTATTATGGTTATGGACACCATATTATGCGATTATGGGATAATTATGTTGCCAGACTGTGAATCAGGACTATTGATCGAGTGGAATTATGTGTTTATCTTTATCTAATTTGCGCAACGTAACACGTCAGATATCTAGAATAATATCATTGTGTTGTGTTGAATGGGTTTGTTCTTTGAGTAGATGGGGTTGTTGATGTATTTCTGTCAACAAGTAGATATAACTTTTTTGCTTGCTTGATGATGATGTTTGGGATTGCAGGTTCCCAGAGGGTGGGACAAGCTGTTTGTATCAATTGTGTCTGTAGAAACTGGGAAACCAATTGCTAAATCAAGCAAGGCAGTGGTGCGCAACGGAAACTGTCAGTGGACTGAGACTCTTTGCGAATCTATATGGATTTCCCAAGACGAGTCTTCCAAGGAGATGGAAGATTATTTCATCAAGCTTGTCATTTCCATGGTACTGTTATTTTCGCTGATTATATATACCAGAATATGTTATTTTCGACAATTTTCTTAGTTTCTGTGACTCGATGAGGAATCTGGTTTATGTACTTGCAGTGACTCGTTTCCAGAATAAGAGTTTTTGTATTTCTGATGTTTTTTGCTGATTTCTAAATGGATTTTATAATGCTAGGGTTCGACAAGATCCGGCATCCTTGGAGAGGTTTCAGTCAATATGTCAGATTACATAAGTTCAACCTCTTCTGCTCCAGTTTCTCTTCCATTGAAAAAGTGCAGTTTTGGGACAATTTTACAGGTGCCTTTTCTATGCATTTCTTATTTTTCCAATGTACCTAGTATGCCTAATTCGCTCAAATCGTAGCAGTCTCTGCCATCTACTTATGTTGAAAATACTTGAATATGTTTTTCTCGCGTCTTAAAAAAAATAAAAAGTGATACTTATCGCCTTAAAACATGCTCGGTTTATCTCTTTTTCTGAATGTGTGTGCTTGATACTTTCGTTGTTTGGTATGAAAAGTTCCTTTTGTACTATATTTAGCAATATGAGGGAGGATACTGGCTGGATGGCCTGTTATTGTTCATCCAGAAGGATGGATGCGTGTGCATATCGAAGTTATTTACATAAGAACATGATTTCATGAATATATGCATTTGAGTACTTATTTTCTTTCCAACATCTCTTTCTCCCCGCTCATTACACTAGAAATTCACCTCAGAGTTGCCTTTTCAGCAGTGTTTGCTTGTCTTTCTTGTTTGCAGGTAAAAATTAACTGCCTGACACCAAGAAAAAAGCTCAGGTTAGTATTACGCAATTGCTTGCATTAATCTTTAGATATTTAGTTTACTACTTGATAGTGAAGATTTTCTGCACTTTTTTCAGTGATGAAGAGTCAAAAGAGACGAGCTATCATTCAGAAGAAGTAATTGAACATGGTCATGATGCGGACAGCAAGTCAGATGGATCTAATAGCTCCGTTGTATGGAGTGCTGGATCTTCCTCCAGAAAAGATTTTGGCTTGATCTCAAATCCCGGAGAGCCTGGGAGTCGAGTATGTTTACACTTTCCCCTAATAATTTTTCTTTCCCATTTACTGATCGATCATGTCTTTTCATAATGCTATTACGATACAGCATTACCTTCTTCATTTGGTGGCTTTATTGGGTTTGCTTCATTCAATCCAGAGCATGATCTTAAACTTAAGAATGTTGTGTTTTTTGACACATAGATTTAGCTAATGACGATACAGCATTACCTGCTTCATTTGGTGGCTTTATTGGGTTTGCTTCATTCAATCCAGAGCATGATCTTAAACTTAAGAATGTTGTGTTTTTTGAAGCATAGATTTAGCTAATGATGATTTCATCGAAATTTCATTCAGTTTTTTAGTACTGAAGTGACCAATATCTAGACCATATTAGCTTTATGTTTTGCGTGCTGCATAACCAGCTGATGGATTAAAATGTTTATTAACAGGCTCTAGTCTATCCTTACCATGGAAATTAATAAACCTTCCTCACTTCTTGTAGGATAGTAGTTTCTCCGCACCAGGTTCACATCGCAGCTATGACTCAGCAGAGGGCTCCATAAGAAGGGATAATATGTCCGCAAGAAGCAACCTTAGTGTTGAAGGCAACCACCTGATAGGAAGACAAGATTCAACCACCTCCCTAATTAGTACAACTCATGGAAATTTTCCTGCTGATATTCGTTCTCTGTCAAACCATTCATCATTTAATTCCAGGGTTAATGGTTCAGGAATTCAGACTCAGAATTCCAGGAAAGATTTTACAGAATCTTCTTTAAGCACCACTGATTCTTCTAAAAACCTTCTGGATGCGGCAGAAGTTACGATTGAAGAGTTACATGCGGAAGCTAAGATGTGGGAGAGGAACGCCAGGAAGCTAATGCTTGATTTGGATATACTGAGGGCAGAGTTCTCTGATCAGTCCAAAAAGCAGGCAAATATTCATGTGGAGCTTTCAGCAGCATATGCAGAACGCGATGGCTTGAAGAAAGAAGTTGAACACTTGCATTTGTTGCTTGAGAATGCAATGGTAAAACAAACAGCCAGTGAGGATTTAACTTCTCAGGATGGAGGAACGCCCGAGATTAAGAAGGCATTCCAAGATGAACTGAACTTTCAAAAAGAATCCACAGCCAATTTGTCCCTGCAGTTGGAGAGAAGTCAAGAATCAAATATTGAGCTGGTTTCAGTTCTCCAGGAGCTGGAAGAGACAATTGAAAAACAAAAGGTGGAATTGGAGAATCTTTCAGAACTACAGTCGACATTTGGTGATATGGAAAACTTGATCAATTTAACTACAGAGGAAAACAGAAATTTAAAGCTTCAGCTGCAACAATTGCAGGAATCAGAGAACAAGTTGCAAGTCGTGGTGCAACAGCTGGAACAAACCGTGGAAGAGAAAAATCATGAGATAGAGAATGGATCGAGTCTGAACGAACACTCCCTTTTGGATATTGAGACAGAATACAAAAGTAAATTGCTTTTGAAGGAACACGAAATTGTTAAACTGAAAGAAAAGGTGTCCGAGTCTCTCAAAGAAAGGCATTCTGCAGAAATGGATTCCATCACCATGAGTGGAAGTGAAGCAGATCTGATCAGTGAAATTGAGGACTTGAAAGAAAAGGTGAACGAGCTAGAACGAGATTGCAATGAGCTGACGGAAGAAAACTTAGAGCTCTTATGCAAGCTTAGGACAGCGAAGAAAAAATCGTCAGGGGGATACGCACCTGTTGAACTTCCAGCCAGTGAGCTTTTAGTCGATTCTTTTACCAGCTTTGAGTCCAAAGTGACTGAAAATAAACCCCAATTACAGAATGCAGAGGAGAAGCTTAACAAGAAAGTGCTTGGGGAGATTACAAATAATAATGATGCTTCAGTTCAAGTACTTGACGGCTTGAAAATGGAACTAGAAAGTAAAGTAAAAGAGCTGGGTAAAGAATTGACGGAGAAGATGTTTGAGATAGAAAAGCTTGAGGTGAACTTACTAACCAAAGAAGAAGAAATTGGTCTTCTAAGAGGGGTCCAAAATGAATTACAAGCTGAGGTTTCCAACCTTCAGAAGGAAAAAATAGAGTTAGAGGAACAGATGGAAGTTGTATTAAGGGAAGGCGATATCAGCTCTAAGTGTTTGAATGATTTGCGGAATGAATTAATGGTGCTTAGCAGAAGTGTGAATTCCCATGTTTCCACACATAAGGTACTTGAAAGGAAATCTTCGGAGCTAGAAGCTGATAAATGTGAACTGGACCTTCATCTATCAGAGTTTCAACAAGAAAACATACAGTTGTCAGCACATATTTCTGCACTTGAAGCTCAACAAAGATGCTTGACGGATGAAAAAGAGGCCAATCAGTTAGAATTAGACAATTCCCAATCTTATTCTCTGAGTCTCCAAGATGAGATTAGTAGATTAAACATTGAGATGATATCTGATAAAGTTGAACTGAAACAGAAATTAAAGGACTTAGAGAGGCAGTGGTCAGAAGCTCGAGAAGAATGTGAATTTCTGAAAGGGGCAAACCCGAAGCTACAAGGTACTGCTGAGAGCCTCATTGAGGAGTGCAATTCTATTCAGAATTCAAATGATGAGTTGAGGAAGCAAAAGCTGGAGTTGCATCAGCTCTGTTCCCTCCTGGAGGCAAAGTTGAATCAATCGCAGGAGAGCTTTACAAATTGCTCCAAAAGAGTTGAAGTGCTGGAAAAAGATCTTTCTTTAATGCTGGAAAATGTCACCTCAAAAGAGGAGAGCCTGAATTCAGAATTAGATGCACTTCTTGATGAAAACATGAAATATAAGGAGAAACTTACATTGGAAGAAAGTTTGTTCAACAAGATGTATTTGGAGAAGACGATTGAAGTTGAGAGCCTTCAGGAAGAGGTAGAACGACTTACCAAGCAATTTGCTGCTACTCATGAAGAAAGAGAAGGACCAGCTTCAGATGCTGTCCAGGAAGCATCCAGACTACGAACTGAGAAGGAAATGCTTCAATCTACTCTCCTAGAGTTTCAATCTAAAGCGATACAGATGGAGGATGAATTGAATATTATGAGAACAGAATCTGAAGCGAAGTTACAAGGCCTATTCGCTGAGCTTGCTGATAAACAAAATCAGGAGTCAACAACAGCTGACCATGAAAAGCTATTGAAGTTGTTGGAGAATTACAAATCAAGTGAAGCAAAACCGAAGACCAATGTGAATGATCTTGAACCAAAGCTTACAGTTTCTGATTATGAACGTCAACAGGTGGTGGAAGAATCCACCAATATGAAGGTTGAATTTGAGAAACTAACTCGTTGTCAGGAGGAAGTTTTGGCTTTCAAGAATGAGCTGGATGCAACCAAGTTCGAGAAAGAAAAATTGGAAGCGTTATTGGATTCAATATCTGAGGAATGTGAAGATCTGAAGGCAGAGAAGAGTTCATTCCATGAGAAGATATCAACATTGGAGAAGGCCTTATTTGACTTGGAGGATTGCCAACGTAATAAAGTTCTTTTGGAGGAAAAATTTCTGCAGATGGAAGGTGATCTAACTGCAAAAGAGGCTTTGTGTGCACAGTATGCCGAGCTGAAGAATGAGCTCAACCAGATCAGGAGAGTCAACGAGCAGTATCAGCTGGAAATACAGCTACTTGAGGATGAGAGAAGTGAGTTCCTAAGAAAGTCTCAAGCCCTTGAACAAGAATTGAAAGTGACAAGGGAAGAAAAAAAGAAACACAGGGATTGTAGCAGTCCAATTTCCAGCTCATCAAAGGGCGGCACCAGAGTTATTCCTGTTGGTGAAGATATGAAGGTCCCAAAAGTAAGTATCATTTTTTCGTTATATGCTTATTAACAGTTGGTGTCAAGACTGTAAAGGTACTACTTTCTGATATTCTTTGATTTTTCTCTAAACAGAATGAAATGGTGAGGAACAGCATTCACCGTCGTGATTTTAGAAGGAAGCCAATTTTGAAGAATGGTCAGGTGCTTGGAAATGCAACAGATCAGAATTATCCGTATAGAAACCAGCATCAAAGAGAGGTTAGACATTTTATATCTTGCTTCTACAGCTGATCTTGCAATGCCAAAATATGTTCTCATTTTCTTTATGTTGACTTAGTACAACAAGACATACGCATAATAACAGTGTATATGAATATATGTTTTTAGTTTCATGTAACTTTACAAATCGTCTACTTTGTTTTCATCCTTTTACTCTCTGCCATTACAGGATGATAACGGAGTCGAATTTCATGATGAAAGTCCAAATGACGTTGAAGAACTTGGTTTAAAGATTAAGTTGCTTGAAGATGAACTTGTTAAGGCATTGGAAGTAAATAACACTTACAAAGTTCAACTTGATAGGTGAGTGTAAGAGGAAACACATTAGGCCTTCAAAACACATTAAGTATCATGTGTCCGGAAAAAAAAAAAAAAAAAAAACTCATTAAGTATCATTTGTCTTCTTACGGTAAACCTATTATGTACAAGTCATTTAACAGACATATACTATCACCCCCGCAGGTGCTTGTCTGAGGCTCGACACAATCATGCAGATGCTCATCGAAATTCAAAAGCTGAAGAAAGACACGAATACTCAAGGTCATCTCTAGAGACGGAACTGAAAGACATTCGCGAGCGCTACTTGCACATGAGCCTGAGATACGCGGAGGTAGAAGCTCAGCGCGAAGAACTTGTGATGAAACTCAAAGTAGCCAAGGGTGGCAAAAGGTGGTTTTGATGAATGACCATGACAACTCCATTGATGCCGTTTTCTTGAGTCTTCCACTCTCAGGTAGCTTTTTCGCGTAACTCTGTATATCACAATTTTTCTTCTTCATGAATATGCAAGTGAAGTGAGTGAGTAGAGGAGAATATACGTCGTAGCCAAAGGTCGAAAGTTTCACAAATTGTTAATTAGAAGTACAAATTTTAAATAATATGATAGGTAGTAATCAACGTTTTGATAGTATTATATACCAGATTATTTGCCTGCACATTTTTTTTTTGCACAAACAATATTATTACACTAAAGGGATGAGGAGTGGGCTAAAGCCTCACAATGAATTAGCAATAATGTGGTTCAAATTCGCTTTTGGCAATAATCGAGCCCAAGACATCTCACTTACCAGTGAAGAGGAATATCACTAGACCATAGTGGAAAATCAGTCTTGCAAAGTATGGCTAGGCATTAGGTAATATTCTTCCAATTAGAATATTGCTCAAATAAAAAAAATAAAAAATTGAGCGATGCTTTTCTTTTTTGGACCAAGTTGAGCATTAGTTCGCTTCTTTTAGAAAGGAAAATAATATCTGCACTCTTTTTCTGCTTATTCACACCCCTAATTATTTATGTATTTTAATTTTTCTTTGACTAATTGGCAGCTAGGGTCAAATATAATTTTTTATTTTTTTTTGTGGAAAAGAAAAAAAGAAAAGCAAAAAGAAAAGGGAAGCTTCATCCGCAAGGCATTACGCAAGCGATTGAAAGCTTTTTAACATTTTTTTTTTTTGTGGTTGCTGGTGTCACTATGAGAGCATGAAATCTCACTCACATTCTCACACTACATGAAGCAAACAACATTCAAGAAAAAGGCCTACCGAACCTTACACATTTAAAACAAACGCATTACATCACCAAAGTGGTTGATATAGATAATTTTTTTTGGGTGATTGTGTAGAAAATTAATAAAAAGTTACAATATTAACCACATATTATAATGTTTATGTTAAATATAAATAGATCAATCATGTATTATAATACTTAAATGCATTTAAAATAAACAAAAATTACAAAATCTGTCGCTAGAGCTGGCACCCACTTCAATTGACACCCTCATCTCTTATATTTTTATATTTTGGAATAAGTCAATGTCTGCTTTTGATTTTGTTTTAGCATTTCATTTAGACGCTGGTTGCAGTGTCTGTTTTTCGATTTCGTTTTTTCCATCATTTGCACGCTTCACACCTCGCGTGGCTCTTGATTTTTACATTTGGATTCAAACGCTACAATGCAGAGTTTGTTTCCTGGTTCTGTTTTTTTACACTTGGATTCAGACACTACGTTATAGTGTCTGATTCCCATTTTTGTTTTTTCCATTAGTCACGTGCCTCCTACGCTTCACATCTTGTGCAACTCCTCATTTTTACATTTGGATTCACACTACAAATGCAGTGTTTGATTCCACTAATGTTTATATGCGGAAAAACAAGTATTCTAACTTGATGATCCAAAGGCACCCGGGGGGGGGGGTGTTGGTTGGAAAGTAGTCCAATTTATACAACATAGAAATATTTGGGATTAGGGTTGAGGTTAACAGAAAGGTTAAAGTTTCATCAGGCAATATAACCTTGCTCAACGGAAAGGTTAAAGTTTTGTCAGGCAAAGGTTTGATTTAGGGATTAGGGTTGAGGGTTAAAAGTTCGTTGGGCAAAATGAATGATTTTTTTGGGCAAAGGTGAAGGACATTTTTGCATATTTAATTCCTTCGATGGTTTTCACAGTCTGCAAAACTAATTTCAATGATCCAATCGTCAAACTTGTGGAATATAGTAGGAGATCGCATACGTAAAAAATCACCAAAAGCAAATTTTTAGGGATTAGTAACGAGAAGAAATCCTTAGATGATTAGAAATGTATCATCATTATTTAACGGTTATTTTAGCTTCGATTGATGATCGTTTACAACTACACTCCTCGACTCTAAAAAAATACAATGAAAGGACCTGATCATCAATTTAAATTTTACAATAAATTACAAATTTGGAATTATTAGAAATTTTACAATAATTAGGAAATTTTACAAATATTATAAATGTTTAGAAAATATTAGAACTTTTTAGGAAATATTAGAAATTTTAAATTTTTTTGCAATATTTTCCACTGGTGTTGCCATCGCGCATTTCAAGCATAACGCACTACAAGATAAGGGATCATTTACGACAATTGCAATATGCGTGCGGGCGTCCAAGTCCACATGCGGTTGAGTGCACATATAGAGCCATCATCCGCACTAAGTGCCCTACGAAAGCCTCTAGGTGGAAAAAGCTTGCCCCCGAAGTGAAGGAGGCAATGATAGTAGTGCTCTCAATAAGTGTGTGTGTTTTTTTAATTTAATATTATTAGTGTATTTTTAAACTAACACTTTTTTTTTTTTGTCTATTTCTGGACTATTTTGAGATTGACTTGGAAGAGCGGGGTATGTCCGACTACATAACTCGATATGGATTGTTCGTTTCAAGGAGTGGATGCACCAGATGCACAATTCTACGAGACTTTTGCATCTCACGATGGATCTCTGTTCCATCCACCCTAGATCATGTGGAAAGGATAGACGATTGGCACTGGCTCTGCGACCATTTTCAAAGCTTATAATCTATTTGATGGACGACTTTTGGACTGAAGCAGTTCGACATGAACTTAGAGACAATGCGTCATGGAGAATAATTTAATATTTTTAGTTTTAATATCATTGTACGAACATTTCAGTTTTAATATAATTAAATAACTTTTTCATATTGTGATATCTTTTGAGATTAATATAATTACAACTAATCAATATAAATTAAATATATTTATTATAAACTAAAAAAATTTAAACAGTTTGCTCGTCGAAATATTTGTTGAGCATGTATTTGTCGGGCAAATTGTTTTTTTTTTTTAAATTTTTTTATTCCATAAATACACCATTGACTGACAAAAATCTATTGTCGGGCAATATTCGTTGGTAATTGCGTCAACGCACTTTGCTCGACGTAAATTTTCATCGGTAATTGCATCGGGCAAACGAAAATGAAAATCTGTCGAGCAAAACTTCGTGCAACGAGCTTTAAGCTACGAACATTGCTCGACAAAGTTTATGGGGCAAACCTTATGCGACAAAAACTTTATTTGGCCTGATGAAATTATTTATTTTGTCTGGAAAGGTTTTTTCCGGTGATTGTCAAATTGAAATTTTATGATGTGTGCATATACAGGTGTTTTGCAAAAAGGAAACATGAAAGAGCAAGAATGAAAAAGGTGTCATGCATGGATATCAAATGCGGAGGCAAGGGTGGTGCCAATGGCATATCCTTTTGAAGATGCTGAATCTCCGTTTCTCACTTTTTTTTTCTACTTTTCCTTTAGCACTAAAAAGTCATCACTCCCTTTCATTGCCCTCATGATCTACCTAAAATTCCTATATAACAACCAATCTAACATTTCTGATCAAACCCTCTTTACTACAATTCATTGCAGTTCTAACCCATCATCTCATTCCCGGCCACCCCCGCCACGAATGGTAGCCAAATGCTTGAACTGAAGGGCATAGAGGGGGTGGCTTGGTCAGTTCGTATTTTGCTTGTTGGATTGGACGATGATGTTGGTTGTTTTAGTTAATTTCTGTTAGCTTTTCAAGCTAGTGTGTGTTTTTAATTACTTTCTCATTAGCCTTGGTTTCAGCTTACAAGGCAGCATAGGAGGAATAAGAACGTTGAAACTGGTTGAATCTACTTCTTGAAGGTTGGAAGATTCTTTAAAAGGGCAACTTCAATCCTTTGGCATTTTGGCTTCTGCAGCGTCTTTCTTCGCCTTCGTGTGTGTTCGTTCTCCAGAAAACTTGTTAGTGTGTAATATTTATCTGAGTTATGCAAAGATGGTGATAAGAAAAGGATTGTAGAATGTAAAAAGAATGAATGTTCTCCTTCTCTTTTGCAAAAATTGCAGAGAGGAATATATTTCTCTTAATAGAAAAATGAGCACACACACGTGCATTTCATAACCATTTTCGCCTTAGCTAGATCCACACACATCACATTTGATCTCAGCCACACATCTAGCTAACTTCTAGGATCACTACACATGGCTATTTTAGTCTTACATAATGGAGCCTCACACTTGTCATTCTATAAGATTAAGTGCATACACAATTAACATTAAGGGGCTTCTTATTTACTAATCAGATCATTACTTACAATTCTACACTCCCCTTTAAGTTTTGAGCTGATTTCACTCCAAGTTTATCCCTGAGATAGCAGAACCGATCCTTAGCCAATGACTTTGTGAAGATATTTGCTACTTGCTCATTTGTAGGACAGTAAACAAGATCAATGATTCCTTCCTATAAAGCATCCTTGATGAAGTGATATCTTCGATCAATATGCTTAATTTTCTGATGAAACACAAGGTTCTTTGTGATGGCAATTGCAACAATATTATCACACTGAAGTGGAGTAGCCTCAGTTTGAAATTCACCAAAGTCCTCTAATACAAATCTGAGCCAAATTGCTTGTGCAGTTGCCTCTGATGCACTAATATTCTCTTCTTCAGCAGTAGAGAGTGTACACAGTTTTGTTTGATTGAAGCCCAATAGAAAATCTCACTACCAAAAGAGAAAGCATACCCTGTGGTGCTTTTACTGTCATCAACTGAGCCACCCCAGTCACTATCATAGTAACCAATTAGAATTGCATTTCTTCCCTTCACATATTCCAAACCATAGTCAAGTGTTCCTTTAATATACGTGAGAACTCTTTTGGCAGTTCCATAGTGTTAGTTGGTGGGACAGTGCATGAATCTTGCAAGTAAACTAGTTGCATACATTACATCAGGTCTTGTAGCTGTGAGATACAATAAGCTTCCCACGATCTTCCTATATTGTTCTTCATTTGCTGGACCACTGCCATCATCTTTACTAAGCTTCTCAGTTGTAACCAAAGGTGTAGCAGCAGATTTACACTCACTCAAGCCAAAATTGTTCAAGAAAGATATAACATACTTTCTTTGATGAATAAAAATGCTTGTGTGTGTTTGGATGACTCCCATTCCCAGAAAAATGATGCAAGAGCCCCAAATCTGTCATTTCATACTTTGCATCATGTCTCTCTTGAATTCCTTCAACATTGTTTGACTATTACATGTGTACACAATGTCATCTACATATAGAGACACAATCATAATTTATGTTTCTCCTCTGGTTTTAGTATATAGAGTGGCCTCACTTTGACTCTTTTCAAATCCATATTGAGCAAAATAAGAGTCATTTTCACTATACCAGGCCCTTGGTGCCTGTTTTAAGCCCTTCCAATTCTTCTGTGCTGCCAATGCAACTAGTGTTCGAATTGTATCGAGTCTAGCCACAGGTGCAAAAGTCTCATTATAGTCAACACCTGGTTTCTGAGCATATCCCTTGGCTACCAGCCTTGCTTTATTTTTCTGCACTGATCCATCAAGGTTAAGCTTGGTCTTGAACACCCATTTAACCCCAATTATAGGTTTATCAGTTGGTCTGTCCACTATCTCCCATGTTGCATTCTTTTCAATCATTTGCAATTCATCTGTCATAGCTATCATCCATGATTCATCCTTAGTTGCCTCATCAAACTTTTCAGGTTCCATAATGCAGATATTGCATTGAGCTAGAACATCATCCAGGTTCCATAATTGCTTGAGACTTTCTCATACTGCTACTTATATCACTTGCTGATTCATGAGAAGATAACAAGCTTGGTGATTGAGTATGGTCCTGACCTTCAGGAGTTGCTCCAAGTGATGTACTATTAGGCATCTCAAATAGCTCATCATGATTAAGCACAATTACATAATTCTCAGAGACCTTCTTCCACTCCCAAGCTGCATTTTCATCAAACACAACATCTCTTGAGAGTATAAGTTTCTTAGTAAAAAGATCATACACTCTATACCCCTTTTCACAAGTGGCATAACCCACAAATATGCCCTTGACACTCTTTGCATCTAGTTTTTGTCTCAACTCACTTGATATGTGTACATAGCACAAACAACCAAAGATTTTGAAATGTGCAATCCCTGGTTTTCGATCACTGAATGCTTCAAAATGAGTTATATCTCCGAGAGCTTTTGTAGGACACCTATTCAGTATGTAGACAACTATGTGTACATATTCTGCCCATAAATAGTAAGGTAACCCTTTATCATGAAGCATAGCTTTTGCCATTTCAACTACCGTTCTGTTCTTTCTCTCTACAACTCAATTCTGTTGTGGAGTATAGCCATAGAGAGTTGTCTTTGAATACCGTCATCTTCGCACAACTTGTTAAACTCACAAGATGTGAATTCACCCCCTCTATCACTTCTCAGGCACTTCACTTTGAAACCACTCTGTAGCTCTACCATGGATTTGAATTTTCTAAAACAATTCAATACATCTGACTTGTATCTAAGAAAAGAAACCCACATCATTCTTGTGCAGTCATCTACAAGAAGCATGAAATATTTATTACCAGCTATGGACTCATTTTGCATAGGTCCACATAAATCCACATGAATCAACTCTAGTGGATTGTTTGCTCTCCATGCCTAATTCTCTGGGAACCACTCTCTATGTTGCTTTCCAAGCTAACAACCTTCACACATTTCATCAACTTCTTCTAAGTATGGAAGTTCATGCACCATTTCCTTCTCTTTGAGTTGTTTTAACCTCTTTAGATGCAAACGGCCTAGCCTTTTGTGCCAGGTCCAAGTAAAGTGAGACAAACATGTTTTCAAAGCTATATGATCATCAAGTAATAGTGCTAAAGAATATCATCTATTCTTCTTCATTTCTACTTTAATTACAAGACATTCTAGTTAAGAACTATAAAAAATGATGCACATTTTACCTCCAAACAACAAATAATACCCATGCTCATCCATTTGTCCCACACTTAGTAAGTTCTCCTTCAATCTAGGTAGATACATTACCTCTTTGATGTATTTTCTGCCCTTACTAGTATCAATTACTAGAGTCCCTATTCCAGCTACATTCATAAGCTCACCAGTTGGCATTTGTACTTTGCCTACCACATTTGTCCTTATATCAACCAATAACTTCTCATTTCCAGTCATGTGGTTGCTACAACAACTGTCAATATACCATTCACCATTGACAACTGATCCAGAAATAATGCTATTTGCATAAAACAAGTTCCCATCTTTATTTGATTAGCACTGTTAGCCTTTTGCACTGATTTACCTGCAGTACACTCTCGACCCCAGTGTCTAAACCTTTCACAGTTATAGCATTTAGGCTTCCCCTTATATCTACACTCACCAAAGTGAAACTTAGAGCATACCCTGCACTGTGGTTTTGTAACTGTCGAACCTATTAACTGTGCATTTTGTGCAGGTGCATTCAAAATTGAGAGCCACGGGCTTGTGGGCGATTCTACTTATCACCTTCAAGCTATGCCGAGCTGCCCGAAAGGTCACATCAGAGGAAGAACGAAAGCAGAAGGAGGTTCCATAGTGCATGGAGTTAAAGTAGGGTACTGGGATCGCCTACCTAAAGATTAGTTGTCTAACACAGAAATTAGGGTGGTAGACCTCTAGCCCATGCTTATAACCGGTTCGGTCACCCTGCATTCCCCAAGCCAGGTCCCATTATTGGATGCAGCTTATGAATTTCTCTTTGCAAAGATCGCTGGCATCCTTTCCAAAAACATCTTGAAAGATCTGGTCTGAGAACCATGGGTACCTCCTGAGCACAGAGGCACCCCACTCCAAGTTTGCCCGATTTTGACAAGCTCTGAAGAAATAAAGGCAGGCAAGGCAAATGGTTCGTAGGAGAAGTCTCTAACAAGATGCGGGCTGGAGCTATGCCCTCAAGGAACTCCAAGTTAGGCGCCCAAAACTTAAGGAAATACCATTGGAGCCAGAGTTGGACCATCTAAGTTAGCCCGTTGAGGTTGGTTTCGAAGAGCTCGCCTCTGGTCATCTCGAAGAGGAGATGGTACGTCATCAAAGGAATGCAGTGCCTCCACCAAGGGAATCCACTCCAATTTTACTCATTTGAACTTGTTTGGGAACACATGTTTGTTCAACCAGTACAGGAGAAAACACATGTGTTCCTGAGCCCTATCTGCAGTAGAGAAGGGTAGGCTAAAATTCTTTTTTACAAATGGGATGAAGCCCGCGAATGATGTCTCTAGCTCTTGAAATTTGATGAGTTATACTCCAGACAAGTGATGGACTCCGATGCGCCCAAGCTTGTAGTGGTCGGGCATAAGGGCGAAGACCAATCATGGGTGATGTCTACGCACCTGCCTGAGGGCCTCAGCCCAGAGACTTAAGCCACGTCTAGGAATGTAGGAGACATATGACCCATTCTGAAATCGAATGTATTGGTCTCATTGTTCCAAAAGAGAAGAGTTTTGGTTAGGAGCTAGGGCTTGGAAATCACAGTGATCTTGGAGAGAATAATGAACTCGTAGATCCCATGAGCCATCCACTTCTACTTCTAAATAGGCTCGAGCTCATCCACCCACTGCGACCAAGTTTCATCCTTCATTAGTGGGAAGCCCTTTTAGAAATTGGACCATTTGGAGGCCGAGATGTAAGCCTCGATGGAGTAAGGGCTGGGAGTGAACCAATTAGCTACAGTAATATTGTTCTTCACTGCAACAGGGACTCAGGCAGTCTAAGCTAGCCCCATATAATGGACACCTCATTCTTTGAAGAAAATGGATAGGTTCAAGCCAGCCTGAGGATGAAAAAGGTCATTGAGTCGGCATCGCAGGTTGATGATCCTCTCACCAAACTCACATGTAGGGTGAAGTTTAGGTGTCATGGTTAATATTGAAAGGAAATAAGGAAGATTGAAGGAAGATGAGGACTTGCCCGAAGCCTAATGGAGAGGCCTGAAGCAAAGTGAGGTTGTCTCAGTCGCAA